GAAAAGATTAGAGCAACGGTATGCTATCCTCTTGGGAAGATCGGTGAACAAGCAGGAAAGAGCCAGGTGATTGATCGTTTGCTGGTGGCACTAGTTGATCCGGATGACCAGGTTCGTTGGAGTACATCTCGTGCTCTTGGAGCGATGGGTGAAAAAGCAGCAACGAATCAGGTGACTGATGGGTTGGTGGTGGCACTAGGTGATCAGAATGGGTGCGTTCGAATGAATGCATGTAGTGCTCTTGGAGCCATGGGCGAAAAAGCAGCAACGAGTCAGGTGATTGATGCGTTGGTGGTGGCACTAGGTGATCAGAATGAGTGGGCTCGAACGAATGTATGTTGTGCTCTTGGAAAGATGGGCAAAAAAGCATCATCGAGCCAGGTGATTGATCGCTTGATGGTGACCCTTGGCGATCAGAAGGTGGTTGTTCGACGGAGTGCATGCAGTGCTCTTGAGAAGATGGGGGGAAAAGCAGCAACGAGGCAGGTGATTGGTCGGTTGGTGGTGGCACTGAGTGATCTGGATGAGGAGGTTCGAAGGAGTGCATGTGGTGCTCTTGAGAAGATGAGCGAAGAAGCAGGAACGAGCCAGGTGATTGATCGGTTGGTGGTGGCACTTGGTGGTCTCGCTGAAGGTATTCCAAGTACCGATCTGAACGACGCGAGTACGCTTCTTAGATTGTTGTCGTATGCCCTGCAGTGGCTTGCTGATGCCGACGCGAGAGAGGCTGAGTTGATGCAGAAATTGAGTTTTTCTGATGGGATTGATGGAGTGTCCTTGAAGCTTTTTCAGTTACTGGTTAATACGCATGATTGGCGTTGGGTTGCCATATTCGTAGAGTATTGTCTAATGTAGGAAACTGCGGTCAGGGTTATCGGTGACAGAGTGATTATGCATTTTGATTGGGGGCGGTGGAGGCACGAATCAGAAACTTGGAGCTCCTATCTAGGCTTCGCAATAATTTTGGTGCTTTCGGTTTAAAAGTGTTCGATTGCCGCCCACGAAATGGTAGAATAACATGTAGGAAACGAAAATTGGAGTGTTCTTGACGAAGCTGAATTGGAATAATGGAGATTCTTTACTTCTTCGGATATTTGTGTTTTGATTACCCAGGATTGTTCGCCTGGATAAGGATGTTGGTGTGAGTCGTGTGTGAATGTGAGCTTTGGTTTTTCAATGATATTTGGGTGTGAAGAGCAAACGCTACTGATTGTATTTCATAATTACATGAATGATTAAGTGGGTTGTATTAGAGCCCAATGAGCTGAAGATCAGTTCAAAATACAGATGAATTTCTACTGTATTGTGTGTGTGTGCATTTACTAAATTGATTTCAATCTCGATACAATGCCTTCCGACTGCTGTTCAGACAGTCATCAGCGGGTAGGTTCAAAAATATTAAATAGGAGAATAGTCGAAATCACTATTCGTCGTCTTTTGTATATTGGGAAGTGTATTGGACAATACATGGTGAAGATTACTCTTATTTTAATTTAACAGGGAGGTCTACATATGTATAATGGTAATTGGAAGTCTCAGTTCTTTGCTATAAGTAAGAGTTCTATATATCTTCCGAATAGAATAAATTTCAGTCGATTGTAGTGTATCTTATTCGTTGGATGTGGCAACTGATGATGCTTTCAACGCATGTACTTATCTAACAGTCAGTTAACTATGCTATACATCAGATGTCTATAAGCTTTACTTTTGTCTCGATTCATATTTAAAATAGAATAGTGCTACCATTTTCCATTACTTGAAGAAGTTATACAGATTGGTTAAAATTCGAATGATTCCTTTAGGCATCCATTTACTGCAATATCTAAAAATATAGCAATCCATATCTAAATTATATCAATATTGCCTAACTTAATACAGCAGTATCCATTCTGGTGAAAGGATACCTTTAAAAAAATTGTTTAATCTAATTTTGTAATTCAACACCTTTTAAATCAATTAAATATCTGAATTAAAAAAGGTTCTGTCTTTTAATTCAATTAAATATCTGAAATTAACAAAATGTTAATTGGTGTGATTTTGATATTATGAAAAATGAACAATTATCATTTTGGGAATGTGAATTTTTAAATGAAAGTGAAAATTAGACAAAAAGTACATGTTCTTGTCCAGCTTGTCTAAAGTATTATATTTGTAAACACATTATAGGCTTAGCAGCACGATAAAAATTATGCAGCATCCCATTGGAAGCTAAAAATATTCCATTGGGACAAAAAAGAAAACGAGGTCGTGTTGCTAAAGCTAAAAAAAGCATTAATTGTGCAATAGTTTTCTCTTTCTGCTGTGTTTTTTTGTTATAATTGATAATTGTATCTTTATTTTTTTTTCTATTAAATTAATTATTAATTTGATATAACTTTGTGTTGTTAGATAGTGTTATTTAATAAATTAGATATAAATCCATCTTATATTAGATATAAATTTATTTTACAATTAGATATATTATTTTCTAAATTAGATATAAATTCATCGTATATTAGATATAAATTTATTTTAAAATTAGATATGGATTGCTATATTTTTAGGTACGAGTTTATATTTATCCCTTTGTTTACTTGAATCATATGTAGCTAACATGTTTTTCATCCATTCTGATCATTAAATGTTTGCTATTTTGCCTGATAGATAAAACGATCTCGTCATACTTTTTTTCTTCATTTTAAAAATAAGATTTCTCTTTTACACAATGTCACATACACAACAATTAAGAATTAAATATGCAAGGATAAGACAAATATATAATCATTATTTCTGATCGAAATTATTATCGTTCAAAAATTGATGTTTTTCCTTTACCAATATTTCGTTTTTCTCGTCTCTTACGACAGTTAAACATTGAAATAACATAAGCTCGTAAACTTGGATTCATAAAACAATAAATAATTGGATTTAATGCATGAGTACATAGGTATAAATAGTAAATCATTATAGGACTTTTTATAATACGTTCAGCATTTAAAATAGATGGTAAATAGAAAAGAACGAATGATACTGTTATAATTAAAAATGTTGATGCCATGCGTATTTGTTTTATACGATGTTGATGTAATTGTCGGCGTAATGCATCACTATGTGACAATCCTGTGCGATTAGTCGGAGTAGTTGAAATTGATCCTTTCGCTATTTCATCATGACCATGAATTTCAATTGATTCATGTTGAGTTAATGATAATTGTTTTTTTGTACAACAGCAACGGCATAACCATTTTCTTAATTGTGATGATGATCGTGAAAAATGAAATTTTATTAACAATTGACGGGTTGTTGAACATGGACATGGTAATTTATAATACATATCAGTATTCACATCTAACTCATTATCAAAATAATTAGGTGCAGTTGATAAATTTTGATTTAATTCTCTATTTAATGTAGTTGGAGAATTTTCAATTTGAAATGATACTTGTTTAGAACCAATTGTTTTTTCCGGAGAAGGATGCAGCTCTTCTGATATACCATCTGATGTACTAGTATCATGTTCTTCTTGTGTTTTTCTATTTATCTTCGTTGGTTTTCTTATTAAAATCGGTGAAAAATGATTTGGATCTTCATTATCGTGGCGATTAATAAAATTCGACATTTCATATTTTGTTTCTTCAACTTTAGTGGAAGAATTAATTAATGTTTGTTGTGATAATAAATTATCATCGGAATGATCAAATTCATTTAATACGTTTGTCCTTATTCTAGGCGATAAATTCGTTATTCTTGTTGTTACAGATGAAGTCAATAGAGGTTGAACTGGAACAATAGAATCAGTTGTTCGTTGATTAGATATCGCTGATGGATATGAATCAAATTTAATTAAAACATTTAAACTCTTTTTTAATGCACGTATACGTGGATTTTGTCGGTGCAAGGCAAGTACAAATGTTATTGTGTAAAAAATTGTAACTATACCAATTAAAGTAAAAAATACTTTATTTGATACATGTTTTAATAAATCACGTAAAATTTCTGATATAATCGACGTATCAGCAAAACATCGTTTAGACATTGATCTATATTCTAAAGTAAGATTTGTTATATTAGCACCATCGGGTATAGAAAGTTGTTCAGTAACTAGATTAATTATATCTGCTATTAGATCCAAATTTTGATCGGGATTTAGAGAAATTTCTTCGTTATAAAGTGCTATATTTGATTCATTTCCTAAAATTAAATTGAAATTAGTATAATAATTTTTTTTAACAGGTTGAGTTGAAAATGCTAATGCAGTTAATGTGCCAAGTCCAATGCCTATTGAGATAAATAGTGTGAGTATAACCTAAAAAGGAAAAAAGTTAAGATTTTGTAAAACTCTCGCTTTTTGTTTATATTAAACTTAGCATATGGTAATTTTTACTTCATATTTCGAAAGGAACATCAACAGATTTTTATATGAACGTGAAGGAGTAAAATGTTTCTATGGTTAGTTTCGAATTTTGAATTCTGATGATTGCTCGACTGAACGAATAATTACGATGTTTTTAAAAGAAAATCATGGAGCATAATAGTTCATTATCACATTTTTATTATTATTGTAACTATTCCGAAGCGAAAAAAATACATTCTATCATAGTGACACTGTTGTCTAAAGTTGGAAGAAAATTTGATAGGTTGTTTAAATATTCAAATTTACTTGTTTCGATTCTTTAAGGTAAAGTACTTTTATGACTATTGTTTTCTTTTTGAATTGATAATTTGAGGTCTTTTAAATACTCAACGCGAGGCTAGTCATGTTCATTTCTATTTTAGTAACTCGTTAGTAATGCATTCAATTCATTGTACTCAAATTAAAGTACACATTATTTGTGATCTTAGAAGGAAAATATTTCTTATTGAATCATCACAAGCAATCAATTATGCATTAGTAGACTTCCTGATTGCTTCCTGAATAGGAAAAATTGGGGGAAATGCATTTCTAATTTCAATGAAACATTAACAGCGTAGTATGAAAGGTGCAAATTAAGTTAGAGGTAAGCTACTCATAAAATATCTAATTTTATTTCTATGTTGTCTGGCTAAGAAATCTATGATAGTAATGACTGTATATGAATGGAACCTTATCGAGGAGTTAGAAATAAAAAGTTCAACGGTATCCGTCTTTCACAATAAATCTTAGAAAAGGAAGTATTATCTACTTGAAAAACTCTAATAGTAAGTTTGATATTCTGATTCGTTTCAGTTCAATCGAATTTTTCGATATTGTTGCAGATGCTATCAAAAGTTCAGGCTAAACTCTAACAAATACAGATTTGAAAAAATTGAAGCATGAGTGCATATGCTATTATATCTTGAAAATATTCTTTGAAAGTCACATCTTGAAAAGTTCTCTCTAAATTGTGTTGGAGTCTACATATCTACCTGATTTTGGTACTCCCACGCAAAAAAGATTCGAACACACTATCATATCATGTAGACATAGATCAAAAGACTATTTCAGAGTCATACTAACAAGATAAAAGTTCCTAGAATATTATATAGCATGAACAAGTATAACCATATTCTAGTACTGGAAAAACATGCTTAACCTATCAAGTAATATGT